TGCATAGCTTGTAGTGATAGATATGTATTGCAAAACTCCCGCTTATTTTCCAAAGTTGTAGAAGATTCGCGAGAGTAAGAATCAACAATATACCTATATACGTAAATGTTTAAATATAGCTCAGTATTGTTAGGTAATCTGAATTTTCTAGAAAACCTCCCACGCCTATAAATACAATCAACGCGACGCGCCAAAGAGAGAGTATCGATTATTAGTTCGCTATAATAAGTGTGCCATAAACTTCGGAAGCTATAACTGTGATTTTTATAACGCTTATCAATCGGAAAACTTAAGATATTTGACCGGGAATATTTATAAATTTCGAACGTTACAAATCGTTTAACTTCAGTGGATTCTTTTTACGAAAACATATAAATTCATCGTGGAGAGCTCAACCTTTGGTGGCAAAGGACCAAACTAGCTAGCTTCCCAGCGAATCGTATCTACATCAACCCGTAATTAACTCGCTCATCGTAAGCCAAAGAAATTCCAGACTAGTAAGAAAACTTTATATTGTTTGAAAGTTTGTGAAACTTTTGTTTATAAATCATTGTTTGTAATAACTGTTGTATTGTGAGTTGTATTGTTGCATATATATTAAAACGTATTTGTGTTAAAAAAGAAAACTGTGTGTATCAACGTTGTTGGCAAATATCATAAACTGACTATATATCGGCATATATTTAAATACTAAATTCAAAGTACAATTTAACTACTAAATTTAAATTATCATTTAACTCGGCTTCGGACTATTCGAAATTCTAATACGTAACAATATATATATACACACACACACACACACACATATATACCTACAATGATTGTAGCGTCATCTGTTGGTTTATAAAGATAATTAAGTTCCGTTTCACATAGACAGACGGAATTATTTCACAGAACTCCACAGGATAAATTTGAAACATTACAAGATCAGAAAGTGGGGAGAAAAACAATTACAGTACAACTGAAGTGTTTTTGTTTTTTTATATACGTTTCCTTCGTTATCCGAGTATTAACTTAAAACGGGAATGTTAAAATATACAGTTCCAAGACTGCATTTTCAAGTTAAGATGGGTTGTGCACGCTAACATCAAATATAGAATAGCACCTGGTGGGAAATCGTTGAACGTTAGGAAGTTAGAAGGACATAAAACTGGAAGAGCCTGGATGCACGTTTTATTTCACAATATTTATATTGAAGACTTTTCTCCTAGTTTGTGAAGTAGTCTTCTGTATGTGTGTGGGGTTTCAAAATCACTGATTGCGTGAACTATGCTTGACTTGTTTAACGTTAAATTATATATATTTTTAAGTACGTATGCTTAGCATTTATATGACAAATTTGTGGGTCTCCTCCCTCTCTAGATTTTTTCGCGGTCGAATTTTAGAGTCCAGTCTGCCTCTGGGTGAGTGAAAAATATAATTAAAATTTGTCGCTTTTGTATTAAGGACAGAATGATGTGAATAATAAGTATATCAACAGAGCGTGTCAGTTCACAAGAATTCTGTTGTACATGTACCACCTGTAGTATAACTTTCACATTAACTAAAATTGTTAAATTCAACAAGAATACATGGGAGAATCAACTAAATATTTCAGAAGCTGTGTATCCACTTCTAAAGTGGTAATTTTAGAAAAAAAATGTAATTAATATGCTAATACATATCACTTCGTCCACTAAACAAGTTCAGATTTGTGTATTTTCATTTAAAAATTACATTGTCACTAGTTCGTTCACAAGTATGTCTTAGCCTCATTTCTAAAGACAATTTCGTTAAATTGTTGTTGTAGGCACGTTATAACACTCCAGCATAGGGGTCTAATACTGTTTTATAGCAGTTTCTATATTAAGTGAAATCATTAACCCGAGATCATTTCTAAATGGGTTCAAATAAAATCATACATTTATATTAACCCTCTTCCAAAGGACTTCACTGTGACAGCATATTTTATCATGTAAACCTTTAGGGTAAGAGATATTCTCAAGAAAGACTACCGTTTGTCATTATACCGATATAGTTTGGTAATCATAACGAAAAACAACCTTCTTTATAATACTAAATCCTGGTTCATTTAAACTAGTACTGAAGGACTGTACACAAATCAGTCGCGCTAGAAGGTTCGTCAGTTTTACCTAGCATTAGTCTCCATCATCACGGACCACAGGAGACTTAAATGAATCGTCACACTATCTCCTCCCATGCATAGGAATGCTTTTGTACACATATCATAGTTTGCTTTACAATGACACTAGTCAAGCCGATAACATGCAGAGTTACTGCAGTTGCGAGTTTCAAAAGACCTTCTGGTGAAGGTTCCTTCGTCATCAAAACTAGGCGAATTGTGCAGTCTTAAAACTCACTACCAATAGGAGTTGCGAGTTTCAAAAGACCTTCTGGTGAAGGTTCCTTCGTCATCAAAACTAGGCGAATTGTGCAGTCTTAAAACTCACTACCAATAGGAGTTGGTAAAATTTAAGATCATTATGCAAATTATGCAACACAAGAGCCCGTTAATTTGCTAATATGAAGGACTAAACATTCGTTCTTCTGCTTCTTACAAAACACCAGTGTCTGCTGCTCCCCTACACACCACGTGGTTGTATACAGGTAAACTTTCCACAATCTTTAAGTGTTCCAAGCAAGCATTGCCAGTTTCCCTTGACAACTGTAAACAAAAAACTATTCCTGTCCTTGTTTCCAGTATGGAACCGACCCATAACTCCTAGCACCGAAGTCTGTCACAGAAAACGGAGCATACATAGGCCTCATATGTATCGTGAAGCGGGTTTGATAAAAATGTGTTGATTGTGTATAGATGCACTACGCGCATGCAACAAGAATCTGGTAACTGTTTCATGTTCAGATTATTGATCTCGCACGCTTTCTAATAAACCCCCGAGTAACCATGACGCATGCTCTGTTCTTGATGTCACCATCCAGTACAAGTTTCTCTGTAAAAAACGAACTTTTGATACATACACATCCAGCCATGTTAACATTTGTTAATCTGTAGTCCCTATATTGAACATACACAAATGTTCTACATGAATTTAGAATTATACCACCAGTGTCTTATTGACATATGAACAGATAAAATTATCCCCCCTAAAAAGTTACAGAAGCAGCAGGCTGTGTACACTTTTCACTGAACCCACCATTACAAGCTGTCCTACCAAAGACGTGCTTTCCACAGTTTTGTTATACATCATGTTTAGAAATGTTCCAGAGATTCTAAACTATTTCACAAACTATTAATAAAAGTCGACTTCATAAAAAAATTAAAATTCACTAAGGCACTGAGCACATTTGTTGGTTTGAGTGTTTACAATAATGCCATAGCTCAGCGTTATTGTTGGATATGCAAGACTGTTTAATGTAAGCGTTATTATTTAGTTTATTTTGTGGCGTAATATTTAATAATTTAGTTTAAGATGGATTGTTTTAGAAGTGTTGTGAAAAACTTCGTAATTTAGTCTGTATGCCTGTGACTAAGTAAAGTTCAATCAGAAAGTTAACCAACGTGCGAGTAATTAACCATAACGGGCGATATCTTAAAGGTAGTTTCAGTTTGAAAAATAAGGAGAATTTGTCTTGTCGAAAGGGTGTTCTAAAGTAATTGAACCCATCTGTGTGCACTTTAACAAAAGGAGATAATGTAACTGAATTTATCGCAGATGGTCTGGTAAAAACAGAATTGAGAAAAATAATTCTTTTCAATTGGATTCTAAAAGTAATTTAATCAGCTCGTGTGAACCTTTGACAAGAGAATTATTTATAGTTTTAGATACAACTCCGATATTCTATAGTACGTTTGACTTGTTTTGAATATATCATTTTAAAACAAGTACATTGTGTGCTGTCCGTTTATTGTTCGAATTTATCGCCAACAAGTCAGACACCTACTGTAGAAAAATTCAAACCCATTCATATACTATAACCCTGACAGTTATGAAGAAAAAATAAAATGATTAGAAGCTAGTACAACACCCTCCAAACATGCACCTTTACAAAGTTCTAGATGGGTACGGTACGTGCAAAGTTCATAACTGAATCTGATTGCAGACTGGGGTTTGAGATTAATAGAAAATGCTAGTTAATTTATCCTAATAACAGCTTGTGTTTAAGCCAAGTAGTGACAGTGTCAAGTGCAGAGCATTATCATTGAAGATGAAATTGCTGTTATAACAACGAAAAAAAAAAAAGGTCTCCACAATTTAGAGTAAACTCTAAGAACCATTCCTAAAATATTGTACAAATTAGTGCCTCATCCGAGTAAGTCTTCCCATAAAGACTCGTCATTTTCAGTTACAGCGCAGTTGGTCATAGTGTTCTCCAGATTTTCTTGCCTTCCATGTTAACCAGTTTTTTGTTGTTGTTTTGTTGTTTTTTTGCATAAAATTGTAACCTTTAATTACTACTAAACCATAAGCAGCTCTTAAGATTTTATTCAGTTTATTCAAGATAATTTATAAAGCCTACAAGACTAGAATCAGTTTTGTTTCAAGCATTTATTACACTTCTCTTACACTCCATGTCAGTTTCACATAACTAGTTTGGTTTGTTCCTAATTTACTATAATCACATTAGTTTCAACAATAAACATGTTTGAAGAAGAAACAATTAAAACCGGAAGTAGCCTACAAAATAGATTTTAATAGAGTTTTCCATTGAAAAAGAGGGAAAGTAACAAGGTTCTATGTACAAACTTAAGTGCTGAAATTTCAAAAATATCACTGAATATTGAACATGTCCTAGGAATTTCAGTTTATTAATAACAATAACCATAATACATTAAATGTTTATGTTGAGAGCATACAAGTTTTCAATAAATAAGATCAGTACTTGTGACATTTAGTGAAAAAGATGTACAAATCTTAATTTAAAAAAACCACATAGACTAGTTCTAAATTAAGTACCAATATCAAAATCAAGCATTAAGCTTGTTACAGTATACTCTAAAGCAGAGTCTTTAGAAAGCTTTCAATTCAAAAAAAAAAATTAAGTTTTAATACTAAATAACCAATAAACCTTAAAATAATGGAAACTTAAAATTGCTGGGCTTGCCCAACATTAATGTTAAGTTTTCATACTTATGAACCAGTTTGTGATACTGACAGATGACCAACTTACAAAAAGGAAATGGGAAGCCCACATTCTCTCCTCACAATGCAGTTTTCTATTAAAGGCACAGAATTTCTCACTCATGGTTACCATGGTATTTTAATTTTGTGAGCCATTAATGGCATTGTCAAGTTTCTGTTTGATATTTTCAAATGAGTCAGTACCCAGGTAATCAATTTGACCCCTTTCCCACGCAAACTGCCGAGCATGAGATCCACCAAGAGCTAACTCATATGGGGAAGCTGCTCCCTCTTCCTGTTGATCACTGGAAACTGACATTTTTGACAGCTGACCTGCAAGTCCAGTCTAAAACAAATTTAAAAAAAAAAATGCTACAGGAAAGTTAAATATGATAGAAATTACTTATAATGCAATGACAAATTAAAATTCCCCCTTAATACAAGGGAAACTACTAAAAAGTAACGCATTTCATTGATGGTAAGATGTTTAATACCTAAGAATAGTAGTTACTGTAATGAATACTAAAGGCTACATTGTTGAAACACTTGTTTAAAAACAAAAGCAAATAAATAAAGCTTAAAGATAGAACTAGGGAACAATTCCTGCTAATTGTTATGTGAAGAACCAAAAAACTAGAGCTAAATGTTTAGTACTGCTAAATTTAATGACCTGGAAATGCAGTTTTAATTGTTTCACCTTCTTTACACTGACTATATACAAATATTTACTTATAGCATAAACCGTGCATCATTTTAGAATTCACCACTCCCTGTTGTAAGCAGATTGTTGCTTAAGATAACATATGCTAGTGGATGTGTTGGTTTGCACTTAGTGCTAAGCCTTAAAAAATATCCTTTACTAATTCATCTCATCTTAATTATAAATACTGAGAAAAACCAAACTTAATGCAAGAACATTCAGTTCTAAGAACACTTAAGGTTTAGGCAAAAAGTGAGATTAATGCTATTTAATAGGAACAGCTTTAAAGGTTAACTGAATTTGATGAATTGATACTGAGTAAGCTGAAAACAAAAGTAGGTTAGTCTTCCTGGACTGGCATTTCCTAAGGGAAACCAACTTATTATAAATTACATACCTTTTCAAGCAAATCAAACTTTTCACAGTTTGTAATAACTCATTTTCTTTCATAAAGTATTGTCCTGACTGACATACATACCTATCTGTGTGAGAAAACCAGGAACTAAAGTATGATTAAAAATTAATTACAACTTACACATTCTGGTTGCAAGTGAGGATGAACAAACTGAATGAAAAGGTGCCACCAATACTGAAGATGTTCTTTGACATGTTGGCACTCACTACCAAACTGTACATCTCCTGTGGAGGGATTGTAACTGTATTGCCATGGTTTCATTGACCCTAAGAAGTGAACAATTTTTACATCCTTGCCAAACCTAGAGATATGTGAAGAAAAACAAGTTAGTCAAAAAAGGTAATTTAGTCATATAATAAGCCACAAGAAGATAACCAATTTCAGAAGTTAATACAAATTGAAAAGTTAAGACAAAGTTCATGCTGAAGCACAAATTTGCAGAGAATAAAAATCTCTCCCCCCTTTATTCCTTTTGGAAGTTAGTTGGTAGTTATTAAAAAACAGGAACAATTTATACTGCTGTGTATTTTAGATCCAACTCTTTCTTTAATACATTTTAATCAAGTATTCTTACAAGATACATTTACTACCCAAGTTGTAAGGCAAAAAAATTTTTTATGTTGTATCTACAGAACTACTGAATACAAGTCTAAAGAGGTTATAATTTCATTGTATAGGTCACTGGTTAGGCCACATATGGAGTATTGTGTTCAGTCCTCGGCTCCTTACCTTAAGGAGGACAAATTGTTTGAACAGGTTCAGCGGAGGGTTAATAAAATGGTGTCTGGGGATGGAAGGGGTTATCATATGAAGATAGATATCCAAATGTTTTTCTTGAAAAAAGTTAAAGGGGGATCTGACAGAAGTACAAGATTGTAAAGGAAATTGATAGTGTTGATGCATCATCTTTTTTCATACTTAATGGTGAGAGTAGTAGGACTAGGAGACATTTTGGCAAGGTCGCAGTCATCTTCAACTAAGATTTATTTTTCTAAGATGATGGTTGGCCTTTGGAATGGGTTGCCTTTGGATGTTGTAGAGACAGTAAATTTGAGTTTAAAAAAAGCTTGATAATTATGTGAATGATAAGGGTTGGCTTTAATAATTTTGGAATTTATTTATTTCATAGTTTTAATTTATAGGATGAGACAGCAAAGATGAACCAATAGGTCACTTGTTCTCCCTAAACATTAGGTTAAGGGCAAGGGGCAAAAGTAGATTATGAACACAAAATAAAGTCTTAGGAATAATTGAGCAAACAAGTTAAAGATGATAAAAATTGTTACAGCTTGTCCTTTCCATCAATGCTAGCTTTCAACTGTAACCAACCCTGTGAAGAAGTAGCAACATTACCAAATGAGCTTTGTCATAATTTACACAAAATTCAGTCACCCACAGAAGCTAACTGGTTCAACATTGCAATCTAATAAACCAATGGGAGGATTGGAAGTTCTATGAATTCAGAAATTATAAAATGCAAACCTAATATTATCCAAAATTGTAGGAAAACACTTACTGCTTGTATGCAGGTAAATAAGTATAACTAGCATTTGAATTCATGTTGTAAATGAATGAAAGATGGAAAGAAATATCTTTTGTGCTCCAATCTCTAAAAAACATATTAAGCAGACCTTGGTCACCACCTGGAAAGAGAAGACAAACATACATTGATCTGGTACATCTTGTTTCAATAATAAATATGCCAATCATGATTATCAAGTACAATATAAATTTTCACCCTAAGCTCAATATTCATTTTATTAAAGCTATAGATTTAATTGAAAATATACAATTTGTATATTATACTCTTTTACCTGGCTAAAACCTTAAAATAAACTCATTTATACAAGGGAGTAAATCTACTTTCCAGATGTAATAAATAAAAAAAGAGATGGACACTTCTTACAAAACAGCATAGGATAATTTAAAACTAAGATAGAAATCAGCTTTTAAAATAGTTTAGTTAATATAATTTTTATTACTATTATTCTTATTACTACTCAATATAAACAGCAATCAGAAATAGCAAACAGTGTAGTACATATTTAAAAACTACATGAAGATACTCAAGTATAACATGACTTCCAACTGATTCAGCTATGGGATCAAGTATTTAGTTCAGAGCTACATTTGTGACAAACTATCTATAATCATTTTTACCAATACTTTACTTGCCACAGTATGGACTGTTTTAATAATGAAAAGTACCAAGTTTTGGAGCACAAAGTGGTTTCTGATAAATATTTGTAGTTTGACAGCAAATACAATAAGCAAAAATTTAAACACCTCAATGCCATTCAAAAACCTAAATGTTCTCACTCAAGTATCTAGTAACCAATAACTTATTTTGCCAACTTAGCTTCTAAAGCCTGCCAACAGTCAGGCTTAAAACACATTAAGGTATTGATGTATATAGTTACCATCTGAGCACCACAGTTTAAAACAATAAGGGCTTGTCAACCCAACTTAAGAGACAATGAAAAGGAGCATCAGGAAAATTGGGTTATGCATATCTTTCAGCTGGTGGTTTTTGCATAGCATACTTATGTGGATAATTTGAGATAGGCTGTCTTTGTAGCTAGAGGAAGCAATGTTTAAGTTGTGTTCTAGACTGCAATTTATTAGTACTAGAAGTAAAAATATAGCACTGAATTAGTTTAACCTAAAAGTTTACCAGCAAACGTATCAATAACTTGTTTCGCATATCTGCTGATACACTTCCTTTTTTAGAACTATGATTACACATTCAATTCTTAGGTAAACGAGTCCAATTAACCTAAAGAACTTTAATAATATTTACAGCTAAACTCCAATATCAACTTTATTTTTAAATAAATAAATAAATATAAAAAAAGTTAATTTCTCCACTAATCTGACACTTGAAATTAGTAAACTTTGAGAAATACTTTGATCATTGTAGTACAAAATTCTAAACACTTGTAATGGCTCTAGAGAGGACATACATATGCCAATGGTGGTAAAATCTGGAGTCTATAGAAAAAAAAACATCTGCAGAATCAATGATTAATTCTTACCATCAAAACTTCCCTGCTCAACAGCAAACTTTACCAGATCTTTGTAAGTTTCATTTGAAGGATGGAATACAAACACTCCAGAGTTAAAACAGTCTGGCCAGCCCACATCTGCTGTTGCTGAGAGTTCTTTTTTATCAAACAGTTCATCACAGTTGTGTAGCACCTACCAAAGCACACTTTCTTAATTCTGATATTAAGAGGCTACAAATGCATATTAACAATTAAATAAAAAAATTAAGTTAATATTAAACTCTTACACAAAAGTAATTTGTTTGTTCATTAGAACACTTTAGTAATTGTAAAAAACTACAAGGTACCTTTTCTTTATATATCAGGTGCTCAGACTCTTAAATAAATAGTCAGTAAAAATACTGATTGCATAAAAGATGTTTACCTCAACTTCATTACCAACAATATCTAAGCAAACTTACCCTATGAACCCATTCCCTCAAAGATTACACAAATACATGATTCACAATTTTTATTTTTGATAAATTGATGATATTATGCACATGTATTGGTTAAGTACAAGAATACTTCAGCTTTAAGTAATGCAAAAAAGCAATTAGTTTGTTTTAAATGAAATAGGTTCAAAATTACTAAGAATATACATTTAATAAACAAACGTGACTGTTTCAATTATATATTCAAGTTAAACCGTTACCAAGGTGTCAGCATCCAAGAAAACACATTTTGTAAACTGTGTCAACCTCCAGCAATTAAGTTTTGTGAATGTAATGCCTAGTTCAGGTCGAGTTAATAGTGCCAGGTTTTCTTCATCTTTACTGTCCATCACATTCACTTCTTGAATGAGATCAAAAACACTAGCCAGCAGAGACCTGTAGAAAATCAAAATGTTACTCATTTACCATATGGCAATTCCAAAAATGACTCAAATACACTTCTACATTAGTAGTAAACATTCCATGAAAATTTTTCCATTGCTTTGTCTTTTTAAAATTATATTATATATATTGTTCCAAGTAATTGAAGGATTGTCAGAATTTGTATTATTTGTAAGATAAGGAAAAAACTACTGCCATGTCAAATAGCCCTCAATTCATTGTTCAAGTTAGGCATTAGACAATCTGAAACACAAGTTATTGGTCATGTAGCCAATACTATATGGGCTTATCTAGTAATGTCTCAGTCAGTACTTAGATCAAGAGTTTAATGAACTCTCAAGTTTTATGAACTATAGCTAAACCAAGATAAGGCAGACAATCATTAAGTACCACTGGGTAAGTAGAAATCAGCCAGTCACAGCAGAGTCATGACCTAACCCATAAGTATCTCACTGTCATAGACCAAACATGGAACTGCTTTCAAATCAATAGAACAATTGTTCAGACACTTAAACAAGGCAGGCCATCAATGACAGCAGAATTATACCTGTCCAAGTAGAATTTTAGATTATAGCCTTATCTACCTATGTATAATTGGAATCAATTTTGAAATAAACTATTTTAATAGTCTTAGTCATGTTTTATTTAGTGCTAGAACTACAGCTATTGGGTACATTAAAATTTCGAAGCCTTACCACATTATTACTGTCCCATGTTTCCATTTATGATCATGCTATAAATATTGTGACAATAGACCCAAAATTTAATTTCCATTGCAAAAGACTGCTGTAAAGCTGTCATGTCCAAAGTACACCACACCTGCATACGTTCCATAATCTACTATAAAAGGATGAAGATTTCCTCATCCAAATCCAAAGAAACTGGATTTGTATTGAACAAGAACACTCATTCTCCAGCTGCTTGAGGAGCAGGGCTTCAACAAATGCTGTGGAAGCACCTTGTGTACACATAACTTATCACTTTTGATGTTGCTTGGGGTATGTGAATTGTATTCGTGGATCTCACCTGTTACAAGACACTGCACATTTCTTACTATGACTGAGGGTACAACTTTCTGTAGGTCTTTCTGGCTAGTCCTAGTGCCCCAAGTAAAAAGCTATCCTCACACTGGAAATTCCAAGTTCCTGATCTGAATATTTCATGATCAAGTATGAACATTTTTTCATCAAAAAGGGCTATTACATACCCTTTCCATACTTTCTGGTAGCACTACATAACTGAGGAACAGCAAACAATGACAATGTAGTTCTGATACATTGTTCCACTGCAGCTTTATTGGCTGCAGTTGTCATGCATATTCAAAATAGTTTTAATAGAACCTAATTCTTTGCATTATGTTAGTTGTTACTCTTTGTATTTCAGTAAATTACCATTCTACATTCCGTGTTATGTCAGCTGTCAATATCTTAAGATTTAAATCCCAATAGATGTTTGGGAGACCATTTGATAGATTTTAGCAATATTAGTACCTTAAGAAAAATCTTAAATATTTCACTTTTTTTTTTTTTTTTTTTTTATTAGTTTTTCTTATTAGTTTTATTATTATTAGTAGTAGTAGCAGCAGCAAAATTGGTAATCTTACCTCATGTGTGTGGTTACCCCAGAAGTAATGAGAACTACTAATTTTCTAGATGTAGCGACTTTCCTCAAGGAGTGAGCAAGAACCAGAGCACCAAGGCAATAGGTGTCATTAGTGGCCAAGGTAACAAATGCTTGATCTTCCACTAAAAATAAGCAGAATTATGATATTGAGAACATATTTTGTATGTTATTTGGTAATTCACATTTGAATCTGACATGAACTTAAACCTTACATGGTAAATGTCAATACAGTTAGACTGGTTACATCCTTCTCTGAATGTGAAAGTATATTCGAAAATGAGAATTAAATTTTAAGAGCCATGTATCACAAAAAAAGAAACTTCAAAAATTAGTTTGTTATACAAGATTTACGACTCCAAATGCATACCTTTAAACGTAATTCAAAATTTAAAAAAAAAACTGTTGACATTTGAAATAAAATACAACTTATATTTATATGCACGCAAGCGCACACACACACAGATATTACGTTTTAAAATACTTTCATAAGTAATAATGTAAGCTGAAATTTAAACTAGTCCCATACAATATTCTTTGCAATGACATTCAAAATATGTTCATTAAACAGTCACGCACGTACGCAGGGGTGGGGGTCAGACAAACCCCATATTTTTGAGATTCAAATTTTACTTTTTTTTTTTTTTTTTTTTTTTTTTTAATTTATCTTCTAATTCGTAGTGTGGTTAGGT